CCCTCCCTCCCTCCCTCCCTCCCTCCCTTCCTTCCTTCCTTCCTTCAGGCTTGCCTGCCCTTCTGTTACCTCCTCCCCATGCTTCCCCAAGGCCAACAATGTCAAGTGTCAATCTGCTGCTCTTTCACTGTCCCTGGTTTCACTGGTCCAGCCCGGAGTGTAATGCAGTTCTAGCCATGCACACATCTTCGTAAGAGTCATCTTGGCAACGCTGTCAGTGAAAGGACTGACAGAGCTCTGGGTGACATCATCAAGAAAGGAAGCGCGCTGGGAGTCTCTGAGCTCACCAGCAGGAAGTCATATTGTACACACTCTTTTTTTTTTTTTCTTTCAAGACAGGGCTTCTCTGTGTAGCTTTGCACCTTTTCTGGAACTCAGTCTGTAGCCCAGGCTGACCTCAAACTCACAGAGATCTGCCTGCCTCTGCCTCCTGAGTGCTGGGGTTAAAGGTGTGCACCACTTCTGCCTGGCATTGTACACACTCTTACTGGGCTCTCTCTCTCTCTCTCTCTCTCTCTCTCTCTCTCTCTCTCTCTCTCTCTCTCTCTCTCTCCATCTACAGGCAAGGCGCCAGGCTGGTTTGTAGACTGGGTAGAGGTGGACGCTCCGTCTCTTGGAAAGTGCATGACCTTCCCCTGTGGCCGCTGGCTGGCCAAGAATGAGGACGACGGGACCATCGTCAGGGACCTCTTCCATGCAGAGCTCCAGACGAGGCTTTACACACCATGTAGGAACCCTCATAGCAAGGCTGGCCCTCTTGGGGGACCCCAGAACCTGTCAAACCCAGTCCCAGATCCTCCTCCACAGTTGACCTGGGGCCAAACCCACCTCAGAGATTCTGTTCAGCTCTCTTGGCCCTTCCTCAAATGTCCTGAGCTCTGGGATTGAGGGAGTACTGTGGGTCTAGTCCTGAACCCCCCACAAGATAATAAGGGATTTATTCTAAACTAAGCCCCATGCTAGCTGATGACAATATGTCATCTTGCCTCTCTGGGATTCAGTTTCCTCATCAACACCATAGGGACAGTGATGCAGGGTGACGAATATTGAACTAGTGGTTGTGAGGAGCCATGATCTACCCCATCCCAATACTCATTCCATTCTATGAAGCCAGAGACATTCCCACTCTGAGAGTTTCTGCTCTGTGTGTGTGTGTGTGTGTGTGTGTGTGTGTGTGTGTGTGTGTGTGTGTGTGTGTTGGAGGGGGGCTTGAGGGTAAATGCAATTCCTTTCACTGGACAAATCAAAAGGGGAGAGGGTGAGTTGTGAAAATGCTCACACCTAATGTTCATGTGCATTTAAGTCTGCCCTGGGTGCTAAGACCCAGACCAAAACCAGCCGAACTGTGAAAATCTGTCAGGATTTGGCGAAATTCTGAAACCAACAGGGAGCATTCAATATTTTTTTTTCTAGCTAAACAATGAACGACACTAAAAAATGTTCCTCAAATAACTCAGATCCCAACATGATGGGTCAGCCAAGTTTCACTTTGCTTGAACAGTCAAAGTGGGAACCAACAGGCCAAACCAACTTCCAGTCCAAACCCTGAAATGAAGTGATCTTTCCCTGTGGTCAAGGCTTGGATCTAGCCACCGCCCCAGGAGTGGCCTGAATGTCAGACTGAACTGACACTCAGAACCGACAGCAGGATCGAGTGGGATTCTGTGAGCAGGAGCACTCAGATCCCTTCCTGCACCTGACCAGGCCATGTTTTGTAGCTCACCAGTTTGAGATTTTTTTTCTATAGTCTGACAGAGTACACAGTGTCCCTTGTATCTTTGGGTATTGGTTCCAGGACCCTTGCAGACGGCATTAGATGCTTAATTCTTTTCTATGACATGGCATAACATCGACAGCAGTTGAATCCTAGACTCATAGTTGCTTTCTTTTTTAAAAAGGGGTGGGGCATGGAAAGAACTGCAACCTGAGAGGGAGCAAGGAGGAAGGGATCTGATCAGACCCACTTCTGGGGTGAGGGGGACCCACAGCCAAGGAGCTCCAGGCTGCCAGGAAGCCTTGTTCCTAGGGAACAGCTGTTTCAGTCAGGGGTCTGGAAAAGCGTCTCGGGAGCCAGATGTCATAGTAGGTCAAGACTGCCCTATACACATGAAACCGGGAGGAACAGACCAGCACAGCCTACCCAGGCCCGCTGGTACACAGGACAGAAGCAGATGGGGCGGGGCCTCTGGGACAGCCCACACAGGCAGACAGGGGTCCAGACAGGGAAGGGTGGAGCTATGCATGTCAGAGCCACGCCATGAGAAGGCTAGGAGGGTCCTTGGCTTTCACTGTGGTCTGAGGGCCCAGGGGGGTGAATCTTAGGACAGTCAGTTCAGAGAGTAAGTGCCCCACTACACCATCTAGCACAGATCCCCGTGTTCAAGTCAAGCTGTTTCTGAATATTCTTGATAAACATACTCATAACGGTCCATACTTAAAGAACAAAGCCATAAATCTGGCTAACCTCACAACGCAGCTGAGAAAACAGAGGCAGAAGCCCACAGCTAGGACAAGAGCAGAGCCAGGAACCAGGAACCGGGAACTGGGAACTGGGAACCAGGAACAGGGAACCAGGAACCAGGAACCAGGAACCAGGAATCAGGAACCGGAAACCAGGAACCGGGAACCAGGAACTAGGAATCAGGAACCGGAAACCAGGAACCGGGAACCAGGAACTAGGAACCAGGAACGAAGTTTGGGCCCAGGCCTGGAAAAGGATGGGTTGGGGCCTGCTGGATGCCTCTGCAGACTTTCCTGCTGCTGCTGCTGCTGGCAAAGCCCTAATCCTAGTGCCATCTAGCTCTCAGGCTCCCAGGAACAAACCTGCAAGGTCTCCATGGAAGGGTCTGCACAGCAGATGGAACCTTCTTCACTCCTGAGGGCCTGGCAAGCCTGGCTTTCTATTTCCCAACAAGCTATAAGTCGGTCTTTTTCAGCCCGGTGGGCCTGTGGTCACTTCTACGAACTACCTCACCCCTTCATTTGTGGTTAGGCAGTAATTATTTCCTCCAGTTCACCCCAGAAGCAGCTCTGAAATCAGACAAGTCTGGGCTCAGGTTCCACCATATGACCCTGAACAAGTTACTTCACCCTCTGAGCTTGCTTTCTCCGCTGATAAAATGGGCGCAGTAATACCCACTCCGTTGGCACTATGGGGATGAAAATGATGGCCAAGGGTAGTGTTGAATACGGTCCACAACATGTTCTCCATGGCTGAGACTAACACTACTACAGCCATGGATGCCTCCGTCCTTCTTCAGGGACTCACTTCTAGTACACTGAGGCAGATTCCCCATCTAGAGAAGGTTGGGATCACCCAAGACCCAGTAGCTCCTGATATGGATGGCTTCCTTTAAGATCCAAGAGCATAAGACACTATTTGCTTGAGAACTCCTCAAGGGTTTTAATGCTTCCTTCCTTCCTTCCTTCCTTCCTTCCTTCCTTCCTTCCTTCCTTCCTTCCTTCCTTCCTTCCTTCCTTCTTTGGTACATATATGTGATATACTGTGTGGGTGTGGTGGGATGTATTTACTTGAGAGTGTAGGTGTGTGTACATGTATGTGGCTGCATGTTGAGGCCAGACATCAATGCCGCGTGTCTCCTTAATTGCTTTGTACCTCTTATTTTTCAAGATAGGGTCTCTCACTGAACCTGCAGCTCCTCGATTTGACTAGGCTAGCTAGCCACTGAACTTCAGGGGTCCACCCTTCTCTACTGTCCTAGTCCTTCCCCCCCACCCCAACTGGTGTTATAGGCATGTGACCCACGCCTAGCTTTTTATGTGGGTTCTGGGGATCTGAATTCAGCTCCTCATGCTTGCTTGACAGACATTTTACCAACTCAGCCTTCTTCCCAGTCTATATTCATATCATGTTCTCTCTCTCTCTCTCTCTCTATATATATATATATATATATATATATATATATATATATATATATATGTATATATATATGTGTGTGTGTGTAGATGGATAGATAAATAGATAGGTAGATGGATATAGATATATTTAGATTTCTCTGTGCCCGGAAACCTAATATTCACTCATACACCTGTGAGGGACACAAACATGTCAGTCTGTGTGGTATATCATAGTGTTTTCTGTTCAGAATGCTACTGACCACTCATTAACCTCATTTCATAACCTGCTAATGAATCTCACCCTGTAGCCAACACTGTTGTTTTAGTTTAGTAACTTCAAACCGTAGTGTAAAGTGGGAATTAGACCCGCTGCACAGACAATCTGAAGAGGGGCTTAGGAATCTTTACTTATCCATCCCTCCGAGAGCTCCTGGAGTGAAGACCCTCAGCCCACACGGAAGCATGCTGGTCACTTGTCACGGAGCGCTTGTACCGGGGAAGTTGCTCATTAGCAGCTCTACTGTGCCAACCGTCCTTTAAGGACAGAGAGTCCTGGAGCTGCTGAGTAAACCTGATGAATTTCTCTCCCCCTGGCCACTCCTCAAAACAGCTATAAAGCCAGAGAAGCTGATTGAGAGGCCAGGTGTCACATGGACTGGTTCAAGGGAGCTGGCAGGTTTGGAGTCATGAGGGGATGAAAGCATGGGCAGGATGAGAAGAGACTGACATGTCACCACTGCAGCCTGGCCAACCTGACTGGCGATTCACCTCTGAAATGCGAATCTCTGGGTTACAAAGTCCTGCGAAGCCTTATGCTGAGGACACTTTAATGGAAACTAAGACTCCTAAGTGACTTGCCCCAGGCCTCATTGATCAAGTTAGGTCCTATATTTGAACTGAGCTCTTCAAATTGCATAGTCTGTATCTTCAGCCAGTCTGCTGTAGTAGCTCCACCGTCTGAAGGATCAGGGCCTGTGGACACTAGGCAGGAGAAGCTCTGTGAAAGGCCACTGATACTGTCAAGAACTTGACCTCACCCATGCCGTCTTCTGTTTCCTTCCTGCCACCCCTGGCCCTGCCCTCTGCCCTCCTTCTCAGTTGTCCCTTATGAGATCACCCTCTACACCAGTGATGTCTTTGCCGCTGGGACCGACGCCAACATCTTCATAGTCATCTATGGTTGTGATGCTGTGTGCACCCGGCAGAAGTTCCTGTGCACCAACAAGAGGGAGCAGAAGCTGTTCTTCGAGAGGAAGTCTGCCTCCCGCTTCATCGTGGAGGTACCTGGCTCTGTGCACTGCCACAGAGGGGCTGGGTCGAGAGTAGCCCTTCGTCTAGATGGGCCACGCACAGCTAATGGGGGTCGAGCAGCCAGATGGGAGGATGATAAAGCTAGCCGGGCCTTCTAGGACAGATGTCAGGATTAAAGGTGATAACAAGTGACCAGGACCTAGGGAAACAGGAGGCATACCAACAGGATATCTTCCTGCTTCTACCATGCATGCAGCAGACAGGCAGGAGCTGGGGTGCTGGCTGGGTAGTGCAAATCTCTCACAGGGGATCACGTGGGGCTGTGTCTCCTGCTTGGCTTTAGAGCTGCCGCCAGCTGGACCCGGACCTGCTGTGCGTTTCACAGCTCCTGTCAGGTCTGGGCAAGGGGTTCTGACATCTGATGTTTACCAGGATGTGGGTTCCAGAGCCTTGGAATTCCCACATCTCTTTTTGCAGAGCAGCTCATTATGTCTTCCCTGTCCTCTTTTGTGAGCTAGCTTAGGCAGGAGACACAACAGAAGAGCCCAGACTGCCTGCAGGGAGCTTGTAGTATAGTTAGGGAGCTAAGTACTCCTTTCAAGATAGAAAATCTAGTGACTGTTGCCCCACTGGTCCTGAGGGTCAGAGGCACTAACATACGGGATTTAACTATGTCCACTCACTGGACCCTTACAACAATTCTGTACTATCCTGGCCTTGATAAAGAAGGGAAATTGAGGCACACCAAAGTTGATGGCTTTCTCCAAACTACACAGCTAGCATGAGGGGAACTAAAATCAAACCTAGGGGAACTGGCTCTGACATGTCTGTTCTGATACGCTGTGGTAGACTCCCAAGTGGATAGAGCTTATTATTGGTGTTCCGAGAAGAAAAAGGTGCTGAAGAGATGGATTAGAGCCAGACGTGGCAGTAGGCATTCTCAGGAAAAGGAGGAGAGGCATCCCTGGGAGGTGAATGCCCATTGGTCCATGGGTGGAAACAGGCAGACATGAAGCTTGAAGTCACAGGGGAGCATGAAGGGACTTAGGAAGAGAGTCGCGATGACACCAGCCTGGGAGAGAAGCCAGGAACCCTGGAAGCCTCAGCTCACTGGGTGATGGGGACCAGTGGTGACATGTCTATATATTCTGGCGGGAAACAAAGTGTCTAGCTTACTCTTATTATCCTCAGTCAGCTGCTGCCCCAGAGATAAAGCTTCCTCCCCACCCTCTCTAGGCAGAGTCAGCTTTGGTGGGAGGTCTGTCATGGAAAATTCAGGGCTGGTTCACTCGTCTATACAAGACTAACATCTCTCCACAGAAGATGATGTAGTGGTTGTATCACAGAGTGTGACATCATCAGTACCCAGCTCACACCTCAGCCGGACTTTTGCGGACTTTCATCAATGAGGTCCCATTAGTAGGCAGCTATAATTTGCCAGTTAATTTGCTATTGATTTTTTCTTTCTCAACTGTCTGGGTCCTAGGGGAACATGGGATCTTGGAAACAAATGAAAAGGCTTTGTCTCCTAGCCTGTTTTTCCTGCCTACATCTTCCACCTCTCTACTCTTTTATGATGGAGCCTCAGTCCACAGCTCACCTCCTTCCGGTCCTAACTCTGCGTTAGCCAGTAGCAAGCTGCTCCCTCTCTCTGTAGCCCATCCTGAGGGGTTGGATGGGAGAAGAACACTGACAGAAACTCCCCAGCTCTTTGGAAACGTCAGCTCTGTTCTAAGCACTCAATGTGGACCAAGTCATTGGGTCCTCACAACAGTTCCAAGAGCGTGGCAGCGCAACAATCCCATCTCACATGTAAGCACCCAGAGCAAGAAAGGTTGCGACTTACTAAGGTGACATCATGCAGCGAATCTAGGGTCACAACAGCTCCAGAGCTTTCTTAGGGCTTTACCCTTCCCAAGGAATAACGCCAGGGCCTTTTCTGATGGCCAGGTCTTCTGAGCCCATTTGGGAGGCCCACCACCCCTGACCAGCAGTCCTCTGAAGACCTCTCTACTGTCTGTGGTGCCACAGCCAAGATGGTCCCCTGATGAAAACAACTCAGTGCTTGTCGTAGGACTAAGGTTACAGAAGTGTCACGGAAGTCACAGACCTCAAAGCCATCAGGACAGGGAAGAAAAAAGAAGCCCTGGGTAGAAGAAGGGCCAGGGATTCTTTGTTTCCTGGCCACTTCAGGTAGTGAGTTTGTCAGTTGAGATGCTGGGGATCACAGCCTTCACTTGGACATCTGTACTTCTCTGGCAGGTGATGACAAGATCTATTAAAAATCTCTGCAGCCCTGACATCACTTGGGAGGTCTGGCCTTTGTTTGGTGACTCTGAGTCCTCTGGGCTTGCAAGGCCTCTAAGGACTATTTGTAGCCATGGATTCTGTTCTCTGGTTTAGAGCAGGTGGCAGGTAGTGGAACACCTTGGAAGGACAGCAAGGTCGTGACAGCTGTGGCATCCTTGTCAATCTATGGAGTAGCCTGGTGCTCAGCCAGGCACTTAGAGCTAGAGAACAGGTGACAAAAAGAAACATGCTGTGGTCTTTGACCTTGTCATGACATCATTGGGCTGCCCCACCCATGACCCTGACCTTGGCTAACTAAGACACCATTTTCTGTAAGTTTGATTGAGTAGAATTTGTAGGAGTAGAGAGAAAGCATTACTGAAAGGGAGAGGCTCTTAAGAGTTGGAGGATTTGGACATGGTCTGTACTAGATCTCTTCTGAGACCCAACTCAGTTCTCAGAGAATGTGTTACTATAGCATCAAGTCATGAAGGATCGGAAAGAGTCAGACATCTCTGAAAGATCTGAGTGCCCAAATCATGTCAATTAAGTCAAGACTGGAGGAGGGAAGCATTAGCATGACATGTGCAGAGGAGGGTCTTGGCCTGGCTGGTCAGTAGAGACATGAGGAGAGCAAATAACCCCCAGAAGTTCCTAGGGACCTGAAGATGCATGACCCAAGGCGGCACGATGTGACTGAAGGCCTTCTGCTAACATGTAGTGCCTTTTTCTTTATGAAGCTAGAAGATGTCGGTGAAATCATTGAAAAAATCCGGATCGGTCACGATAACACAGGCATCAACCCTGGGTGGCACTGTTCCCACGTGGACATCCGCAGGCTCCTCCCCGATAAAGACGTGAGTTTGAGATGCGACTCTCCCACTGCTTCATCTGTCTTTTCCAGAAGGAGTTCACAGCAGATTGACTTGATGGTTGCCCCGGCCTCCAGGGCATGTTAACTAGCTCAGGTCCAGGGCAAATTCTTCCAGTGGTCAAGGAAAAGAGTTTAGGCAACCTAGTCTGGACTATGTTTCTGCCCAAGTCCCAAAGCCACAGGGCCAGTGAGTGACCAGCATGTCTTTGCTTCTACTCAGGGTCAACTCCAGAGGAAAATCAAACCTGAGCAACTTGGAAAACACTAGAAAACATGCAAACTTCCACAATTAAAAGACAATGAAAAGATGAATTTAAAAACACAGAGCCCTCTCTTTACCCACTGACCCCAAGTGTCAGAGACAGGGTACAGATATTTATTTTTAAGTGATCCAGGAAGTAGATCTTGCAAAAGCTAATGCCTCTTGCTGTGGTTGTATGAGTCTCTAAGGCTAGGTCTCCTGAAACCAAAACAAGCAGTTTCCCTGTCTTTTCATATTTGAGGCAACATCTTCTTTGTCTTTGGTTCCGATGAGCATAAACATGCTGGTGAACCCCTGGAGCTGGTGGCTCCTACCTTATGGACTAATCTTTCTCCTTCCTCCTCCCCCCAGGGCACAGAGACCTTGACTTTCCCATGTGATCGATGGCTTGCCACCTCTGAGGATGACAAGAAGACTATCCGAGAACTGGTCCCTTATGACATCTTCACTGAGAAGTACATGAAAGATGGGTCCTTAAGACAAGTCTACAAGGAAGTGGAGGAGCCTCTGGACAGTAAGTGTGTATGGGAAGGGTGGTCTTTGTCACACAGGCAGCTCCAGGACCACATCCCTCCTCACAGAGCATCAGCCCCTGCCAGTTGAGCATCCTCCCTCACGAGGATAGTCTACATTATCACTGGACAACTGAGGCTCACAGAGGCTATGTAACTGGCCAGGTTCACACAGCTGGTAGACAGCAAGGCCAGTCCCCAGAGTCTTGCCTGTTCCACTGCAAACTTCACAATCCCTTCCCTACATGGGATGTAGAAGCAGCATGTCACATCCCAACTGCCTGGATTACCCTGCTCCTGGCTTTCTGCATGCTCAGTTTATTTGGCCACTAGTTGCTATGGTGTGGTCCTTTCGACTCTTGCAGGACAGCCTAGGAATGGAGTGTAGCTCAGGGAGAGAGTATTTGCCTAAGGTGTGAGGCTCTGTTTTGAAACCCTGTATCGTAAAAGAAGATTTTTTTTAAAGACATAAAAACAAGGTAGAAATCTCCTGGCAAAGCATGTTTAAGGGGGTTAGGCCCAGCTCCTCGGTTTGTGTAAGTTCACAAGGTTTTGTTTTCTGCGTAAACTAGTCACTGTCATCCGTGGATGTTATTTCTAAGCAGGATTTGAATCATCCTGACCACCCACTTCTTGTGCTTCTTCCTCCCTTTGGTCTCAGTGACATCACCATATTCTGGTTATCTTCCTCCCTCCCTAAATAGTCTGCTTAGTGCTAGATCTTTTCTTGTGCCTACTGGAGTGCAAGGTTCTCTCCTCAGCCTTCTCTTCTTCCTGCACTGTGGCACACACAAGTGCATGCACACACATGTGTCCTTCCTTTACCACATGGATAGCACTGTCCAGGTCACCCCCGATGTCACTCACCAGCCGCTCATCAGCCCTGAGTAAACTTTAACCATTCGATAATGTCACCTCTAAAAGTTTCTACCACCGATGATACACAAAGGATACCCACAGTCCTCTTCAACTGGGCAGTCTACACGGACCACAGAAGCTCCAAAAACTTGGAAAACCAACCCAAATTTATGGTGCCATAGTTTTTGGAAAAACTGGAGTAAAACCCAGGATTTCAATAAAATCTAAGATTTTCTTAGGAAACCAGTGGATCTTCCTGCTGGTGAGAGTCGAAAGACAAGAGGCAAACATATGTCCTTTTTGTGGAAAACAGTGGTGGCCCTGCTTTGCTTTCATCAGAGCCGTCTTGCCCACGAGTGAGTCTCTCTCCATCCACATCCCTTTCTCTGAATTGTCTTTGCTATTCAGTCAAGGAGATGTGTCTCTTTTTCACCTGGACCCCAGATGGACACCCTGGGCTGCCGTTCCCAGCAACGCTCTTGAGATGTTCTCTATAAACCATACTCCACAGAACCCACTCTGAGGTTTCTAAGGAAACACCTCTTCCCTGACAAGCTGTGTGGCCCGGGTGGGATAGGAGGGAGGAGGATCCAGAAATAGCTGGATCCCACATCCCCGTATTGCTCAGCATCAGAGGCTGAATTGGTTTTCTTAGTTCCCGAAGGACCAGAGGAAGCAGCGGGAGGTGGAGTGGGGGTGTTAGAAGGCCATCCAGTCACAGCCCCAAGGATGCAGCATCCCAGTCTGGGACAAAGGCTCTTAGAAAAGACGTTCTAACAGGTCCACCCACCCATGACAATTTCAAAATGTGGAGCAGGTTTGAATGCAGCCAGAAGTGAAGAGGGATGCGGGGAGAGGACCATCATCAACTGTTGTGTCTAAGCTGTGACAAGATTCCTAATGTTGCCTCACGTTGGCGTTGGCCCGACAGACTTGGGGAATGCTGTCTTCTCATTTAAGCAACACAGAGACAATTTCATTATCAGCTGTTGAGGCCCATGACATGCTTGCTGGTTCTGCACCAAGCTGGGCAGGATGGAGCTGGAGCAAAGGGGACTGGTCCTGGACCCTTGTCTGTATCAGGGGACATGCTTCTGACCATCAAGTCTCATGAAACAACAAGGGCCTTTGAAGAATGAGTGGCTATGAAGAGGGGGAGGGTGGCTTTGGAGAAGGGGATGGTACAGGAGGGATCACGTTCCACTCAGATGTGTGAATGTGTGATGCTGGGGTCTAGTCTCAGTGGAGGTAGCCACTGGGTGACAGGAGCTAGAAGTTTGAAGCACAGGGCTCTGGGCTGAAGATAGACTCGTGAGGTCAAGGAAAACAAAGGCAGACTGTGAAAAATGAGAGAAGAGGGAGGAAGGAGGTGAAACTAAAGAGTTTAGTGGCTATGACTGTGTGGAAGATGAGGAGCCCAAGAAAGCCAGAAGGAAGCATGATGCTGTGGAACCCAGTGGAAAAGAAGTGCACACCAGGAACCATGTGTGGGTGTGAGCATGTCTGTAACTGCGGGTGCAAGCTGCCCACAGCACATTGCTTTGCTACATTGAGTTAGAGGTGGTTGTGGGCCCACTTGCAGGGGTTGGAAAGAAAGCCCATCTCAGTCACTGTAGGGAAGAGAACCATTTTCTAAGATCTTGTAAGTCCCCAGGGTTCACAGGAATGGGTCTCAGTCCAGTGTAGGTATCACTCTGCCCTGGTTCTCCTACCATCCAGTGCCAATGCACTCTGGGTCTGTGTCAACACTCAGGGGTCATTTCTCTGGGTGACTAACACCAGTGCTTCAGGAATCCTTCATCCCCCCAGGTTCCAGCCACTACTCAAAAAGCTTCCTCCCCATCCTGTTCTCTCCAGGACAGTTCAGCCAAGTCCTGTCATCCTTGGCCTGAAATTACAAATTCCCGGGGAGGGGGGAGGCAAAGGGCTACAGAGAGGGGAAGGAAGCCCTCCAAGGGTCTGTAGAAGCATGTGGAGGACTTGTTTGTCCACAGGTCTGGAGGCTGGGGACGCAGCTGTCTAATTATACTAGCCATCTAATAGCTGTCCTTGCTGAGGCACAGCAGCAGAACAAAACTAAGACACCACACTCATTCCCATTCTCCTCAAGATCTTTGTATACTAGTCACCCCGATACTGAGCCCTTTCCCAGGCACCATGGGGTCAAAGGATAAAGCATCACTCACTGGCTTTGGGAGAAGGAGAAAGAGTTTGCCTGGGGTACTAGGACAAGGTGAAGGGTACCACTGGGCTGAAGAATAAATCAAAATAAGGAAGGAAGGATGATGATTGAAAACTACTACTACCACCTCTCTCTCTCTCTCTCTCTCTCTCTCTCTCTCTCTCTCTCTCTCTCTCTCTCTCTC